CTGTGGTGTATAAATAAACGAGATTTGTGTGCTTGATTGTATTGTGTGATTGCTGGGTGTTTGTAGAATATACGTTCTACGCTTACAAAGCCTTCTGTCTTAAGCTTGGGATTCCAGGTAGCCTATCTGGAAGCTGGTAGTTGTTTCGTTCGCGTTTATCGACTAAGGTGAACTCGTAGTAGCTTCAAGCGTAATAAACTAATCATCAATAGAATTTCAGTTGGAATACAAAAAACTCAATCGGGTAAACTAAAATGTATTTCTTATCAAATAAAAAGAAGTATAATATGATTTTTTTTGGACTAAGATATACTCTGTTTGTGAGGAATAGCTTTTGATGACAGTATTTCAGACATTCTATGATATTTCAGTTATTCGATCAAATACATCATCCCACAGGATTGGTAGAATGTAAGGGAACCATCAAGAGAGCAGTGGTAAAATCCGAATATAAGTTTTATTGAAAACGATTACCTTAACCAGTGAATCTGTAAACTGGTGTCTCACAACTTATGTTTTGAGGACCGCTATCAAAATATACCATCACACATGCCAAGTCACTAATCAAAATCCTAATTTCAATTTAGTCTATTTCATGTCTACTATTTTCTCCATAGCCTAATGTCTCTGAGTTAGCCAATTACATATTCGGCCAGCACAGTTCACGTTGAGCCACATCAAGGTTCTTGTAGGGTCATTATTCACAAAACCTCGTGTCTATATCCTGCCTTCAGTCCACAAGGTAGCAATCAGCCAAAACATATTTGTATTCCAGACAGATGTGATTTAGTGAACTGCAACACACTCTGTGCAATGAAAAATCACAATTACACATGAACAAACCAAAAACCCTGGCTGTGAATAAGGAAGACTGCAAGTAATTGACTGGTAATACTCAATCAGTCAGTTAGTTACAACGTAGAACTTCCTACATACATACATCAGTTATAGTTGCCGTAACATATTAGCACAGAGACGCAAATGTCAATTCAAGTCCCATAGTGGCAGAGGTGGTAGAATTAATAACAGATAGCAAAAAGGTTAATGATCGAATATATCATTTGAGATGTATACCCCAGAGGAATCAGTTACATTCGCTGATATTCTCTGACTACATAGTGAAAATCTTGCATCATAAAAGTGATCAACAAAATTTTAAACCATATTGTTCACAACAGAACAAAAACTACGTGCTCACCTCTAGTTTTGCTGGCAGATCTACATAAGGAGCAGGTCGGTACATCCCAACAGGTAAGTCACTCACATGCATCAAGGTCACTAGTTCACTGTGATACAACCGACCTTCACCACGGCATCTAAAATACAAATTTTTTAAAAAAAACTTAAAATACTTACAATAACTACGTTGAATAATCGCAACTATTTCTTAAGAATACTAGGGATACAAATTCCGGCCACCTTAACGAATAGCTACATTAGAACTGGGTCGACAGAATTTTATCTGCGCAAAATGAGTTACACAAACATTATACTGGCGATTACTCATTTTATCAAGATTACAGAAACCCATTGCTGATGAGTATCACAACTAATACGACAATTAAACACAGGGTTTCTTGTTGACCACCCACAGTCAACCTAACAGAAGCACAACAGCTACATATAGTATGTTTAAGAGAGAGTTGAGACACTTGTTTCAACATTGGAAAGTTAATTACCTAGACATTTAGACTGATCATAACTTATAACAGTCTAAAAAGTACATAAATAGCTCGTAAAAACATTTCATTACTTTTGATATTGAATAAAAGACAATCCGAAAACAGTAAATACGGTATGATAATACCTATATAATCAGCTGTTTTATAGTCAGTCAGTTACAACGTAGAACTTCGTACATGAGTACATAAGTTCACGTCCCCATACTGCATCAGCACAGAGATGTAACTGTCAGTTCAAATCCCATAGTGATAGAGATAGTAGAAGTATTGGCAGTAATGGGGAAGATTAGGGAGCGAAGATATGATTCGTGAAGTATAATTCAGTACGATAACTTAAAAAAGAGAAAGATAGAGATGATGAGGAATTCAGAAGGTTAGAATTTGAGAGAAAACAATGAATGGATGCATCTGAGCGATTGTAAACGATTTTGAGCCATATCGATCAAGGTCTCTAACCATCAGTGACTTTCGTCTCGCGGACCCCACCAGATAGCCTACATCTGCCAACATGACTCAGTCCACTTGTCAGAGACTTTGTGCCATGTTTCGGTTTGGCTGCCCAGCTGTTTTATAGACTACATTCCAAATTAAAACACATCAGTGGGTCAGAGGTCAGGTTTTTTATGATCAAAATATCTATACACCCCGGTGTTTTAAACATGATAACCTAACTACATAGTTAGTTGATTGGCTCATCATGTGATATTTAATATTTTTACATTAAAATTCTACCTCGAACAGTAATTAATATTTTTAAGATAGACGACTAGTCAACATTGCGTAACCAACGCCCCAAGATATGCACATTCGCTATTCTATCCAGATAATGCCCATAAAGAAATACAATTAAAAAGAAATTTTTACACACTACTAGCAAAGATAATAGTAATACAAAAAAGAATAGTAAAATATAAATGCATAAAAAAACAATTTACTTGATGACAGCAATTAAATGATAACATGTTGGTTGACCTAAATGATTGTCAGTACGTGATTTCAAAGTAGGAACATTCCAACCACCAGCTTCACGTCCAACACCAACAACAACATAACCACCTCCACTTGTAGGATCATTCGGTATGTTCGAAGTTTTAAGAGATAAACGAATAGCGCTTAGTTTCATACGAGCACGTATAGGATCACCACGTGCAGGTGGTACAAGAACTGGAGAACCTCGATGCAATAAGGCAAGTTCTTCCATCAATACTTGACGTCGTTGACCTATGAGTAAGAAATAATGTTGAATTCATAGTGTGAAAAAAATACGATGTCTAATATAAACATAATTCATTCAATCACCAAGGGCTCGGATATGAGATAGTGGATATTATCTGGTGAGGCGGGGTTCGAACCTGGGACTTACTGGCCCCAAATACCCTGGCAAGATAGAGAATTGGGGAGAGTTCACTCACTCGAAATGCTCTCATATGACCACGTGTATATAAATACTACAAAGGAAATCCTACTCAATGCCTTCTCACGATGGGAAGATTATGTATCAAATTGAGAGAGGATTCAAAATCAATTGTCCAGCATTCAAACCACCTTCGTGGGTACCGAGGATCCATCAATGAGATTTGAAAAACTCTGATTCCAAACCAATACTGTGCATGAGGAAACAAATGGAGTGTGAACCTATTGTTGATCATCGGTTACCATGAGACAATTTCTCCTCACGTTGATTTACTGTCCTGTGGATTGGACATCCAGGTCAAAGAATTGGGGAATGACCCCTTAAAATGCCACCAGGTCACATACTAATTCATTAATTTGTCTGGCATATAAATATATAGGTGCGTCCCTTTGTACCAATAATTATGTTTAAATATATAAATGGTAATAAAAAGCTTACAAGCTATTAGCATTGTTCTGCTAGCTTCTACATGAACCCGAGAACCTGGACCCAATTCACGTAGTCTATCACAGTCTTCAGGATTTTTTCGATAAGTAATACTGACACTCTGTTGTAATGCTGAACTAGCTTGTAAAATAACTACACGTTCTGCTTGTATTAATTTTGGCAATTCATTTAATCGTTGAATACGTCGTTCAGCTTCAGATAATGGCAAAACTGGTGATATACGTTTGTTAACTATGAAATAGGAAAAGAAATATACAGAAATGTGTTAGAAATAACATTGTAGCACTACTATTCAGAAATATGTTTAAAACTGTAATGAAATAAAGTTAGAAATAAAATACATTAGACAAAGTCAATCAGTCAGTCATAAGCAACTGAAAAAAACTGAAACATGTGTACATCGGTTTCAAGTTGTGAGAGCAATAAAGATAGTTATAGTACTATTACTAGTGGTACTAGAAAAGATTATTTAACCAAGATACCTATTCGAAAGAAAATAGGTTAGTAGAACAAAATAAAGAATTTATAAGGAAACAAACTAACTGTATAGATATTTTCAATTAGAGTTACGGAGATTAGTGTTTTTTCCACATCTGAAATCATGAATGAACCATTGTTAGACCACCATTAGAAACCTGGAAGCACTGGAAGGCCTTTCGTCCTTGTATGGGACTCATCAGTGGCAGTGCGCATCCACGACTCCTGCATCTCGCAGGATTCGAGCCCGGGGTATTTGGTAATGTGCGCGAACGCCTAACCTCTGTATAGTTGTTGAGATTGTTGAGGTATACTGCAAAATCATGAACGGATCAATGATAGACCACCATTTGGAAACCTGGAAGCACTGGACGACCGTTTCATCCATGATATATATATATATATATATATCATCATTTCAAGTTGCCATACCACATTAGAATCGAGATAGATGCAACTGTCACTTAAAATCCCATAGTAGTCAAGGTATTAGAAGTATTAGCAGTAAGCAAAAAGATTAATAATCGAATATATCATTCAAGATGTATACTCCAGTGGAATCGATTAAAAGAAAAAAAACGGTCATGAAGAATTCAGAAGACTAGAATTCAAGAGAACACAAAGAGTGGATGCACATGCGCCATTGCAAATGGTTTTGAGCTATGTGATTCAAGGTCACCTCTAATCATCGACTACTATAATCTCGTGGGCCCCAACCAGGTTGTCGATATCAATTTGTGCCATGTTTTAGTTTGGCCACCGCTAACTTTCTCCTAGCCTAACCTCTACGCCACAAAAAACTGCTCGTTGAGGGAGTCCATGGTCGGGCATACATAACACATGTCCCAACCACCTCAACTGATGAAATTTCAATAATTCATCTATCAATCTTCCACCCTTATCTCAGGCCTGTTTTCTAACGACAGCACTGCTTACTCCGTTTTCCCGAACAATGCTTCGGAGGACTGAAGTAGTGAATCTTCACCGGTTGAGGTGGTTAGGGCATGTGTTACGTATGCCCAACCATTGACTGCCTTGACGAGGGATGTTTTGTGGTGTAGAGGTAGGTTGTAAGAAAGTTAGCGGTGGCCAAACTAAAACATGGCACAAATTGATAAAGTCACTGACAAGTGAACTGAGCCATGTTGGTCGGCGTAGACCACCTGATTGAGACATGCGAGACAATCATAACCGGTGTTTAGAGACTTTCAATGATATAGCTCAAAATCGTTTGCAATGTCGCACGTGCATTCATTGTGTTCTCTCAAATCCTAACCTTTCTTCTCTTTTTTAAATTTATTTCACTGGGTTACACGTCTCGAATCATATCTTCGATCCCTAATCTTTTCCATTACTAGTAATACTACTACTACTATGGGATTTGAATTGACAATTCGATCTCTGCGCTAATATGCTAAGTTTAAACTTGAATAAGTAAACTGCCAATGTCTCAACAGTTCACACACTTTTGATTCGGTCACCATTTTGATCCCAATTATTTAATCGTGTAGATGATTTTGAAGAACTATTACGATGGGGTAAAATTCCCCCAGTTAGCAGTGTTGCTGTTTTGATTACCGAGTATTGCTCTGAAATGTGTTCTCTTTTGAGCAGCTAGTGTAGCATAGGCCTTTGCAAGAGCACTCAGTCAGTTGCAACGTAGAACTTCGTACGTATGTACATAAGTTCATGTTGCCATACCACATTAGCACAGAGACGCAAATGTCAAATAAAATCCCATAGTGATAAAGATAGTAAAGGTATTAATGGTAATGAAGAAGACTAGGGTTTGATGATATTATTCAAAAAGTATAATTCAGTGAGATAAGGTTAGAAAGACAATGGTAGAGGTGCTGACCAATCCAGAAGATTAGGATTTGAGAGAGCACAACGAATGTGCTCTCTTTGCAAGAGCAAGTAAACCTATAGATGAAATCTCTCTTATTCCTCTATGACTCTTTAACACCACTTCCAGTATATTTCCTGCGTTTTTTTAACATAGTATCTCACTTTCTAACCCAAAATAAGAAAAATTCTTATTTATGAAGAGAAATAAACTATTTATCAATGTAAGGAAGATTGTGGTGATTGTAGACTTTGCATAATTTAAATCACAAACTGATCTTAGATAGATCATCATCAGTGAACATTTGAAAGCATTAAATGGCCATTTCGTCTTGGTACGAAATTCCTCAGCCACATTCAACCCCCGAAAGAGAGAGGCCACGAACAATCACTGCTAAGTAGTCCCATATTATAGAACAAAACACCCATTCAGTGCTTCCAGGTTTTCAATGATAATCTAGCTAAGATCAGTTCATGAATTAAACCATGAACATAAACAACTTACTTGAAAAAGTTTCATAATTAGAAAAAAACAAAACAAGCAAACAATGAGCAAAAAAAAAATGATATCACAACTCACTTAGTAAATCACTATCATCTTTTGAAAAATATGAATGTTGTTGATAATGATTCTCTTTATTCGCGCTTTGATCTTGTGATGAATAAACACTGGATAATTCATCATCTGGTATGATGGTATCCAAAAAATCAGACAATTCAGAATCACCACCTAGAAAAAAAATACAATGAACATACACAGAGACACACACATACAGATTGTTGTGAATATGTACTCTGAGTGATTGTCATTATGTATTTGCTGGCATTTGTGTTGTTGCGTTGTATGTATTTACAAGCCCCCTTCTCATAAATCTATTGTTTATCTCACTAGTCACCTCACCTTTCTCGTACTTGTAAATAATTCGTTTCGCTAATATTATTTTGACTCTACTTTTATCATATGACCTGTTTTAGGCCTGGTTATTCTTTTGAATTTACTCACAAATGACCTAGATAACATTTGATCATGGTTATTCAGCATTTTATGTTCGTTATCACTAGTTGGAGCTCTTGCTCTATTTATTTACTATGTTATTTTATAAAGTCGGCTATTTACCACTCTAACATAATTATCTTAAATAACTGTTTGGGTAATTTCCGAATGGGAAGTGCCATCTCCAGTCAACCTGAATAGCAAGTTGATGTAAGCCCACTGACTCTTAGTGAAGTTGAAAAAGCTATCGAAAATATAAGGCGAGAGAGAGCAGCGAGCCCTGACGAATTGACCGTTGAGATGGTGATACAGTTTTAGCAGTTAGGTTGACTGAGATCTTCAGAAGGATTTGAGAACTGGACGTAATCTCATCTGACTGGTCTCAATCACTGATTGTACCGATCCATAAGAAAGAACAAAAGTCCTCCTGTGGCAATCACAGAGGAATCAGTCTAACTAATATAGTGACTAAAATTTTAGCCTCGATAATACTTTGACTCCAAACAAGAGCTCGTGTCCTGACCGTAGCTGCTATCTTGACCTGGTGATCGGGCTTACCTACCGTCATCACGCAACTGAGCTATATTGCTTCGAACATAGGTTTATTTAGGTTCTACCATGCCAGGCAGGTCGATTGGAGGAAGGTAAGACTAAAAGCGGCTACTCAAGGTTTGAGGGCGAAGTCGTGATTCTGACTGTAGAGAGATGTGACAGCTGTAAAGTTTCCCCTGAAAACCAGTATCTGCAGCGACGCTGCCTTCTCATACTAAAGGAAGGGGTTAGAAAAAGTCGACCCTGACAATGTCACACCTCACCTTATCTCACGGATTTCCGTCTCCGGCGGTAAGGCCGTTTGGAGAGCAGAGCTAACACGTGAGAAATTTCCCACAAAATGACAGTGCGTGACCGACTTCAAGCAGCTATCTCTTAGGCTCTACGGTTTTGCTCCCAGGTCTCTAAGACCAACGCTAATTTAACTACCTTTTCAGGTTCCAGAAGAAACACCCCTCCACGGTGTGGGCAGCTGGGAAGTGGTATCCGCCCCCATACTCGTAACACCACACGAGACCGAATTGGTGACTGTCAAATCCTGACTTACAGTTCGTGAAGAGTTGACTCGAGAAAACCAGGCTACTTTCAGACCTAGACGTAGATGTAATGACTAAATATTCACACTTCGACAGGTCCTAGAACATTGACACATTTTGATGTCCCGCAACAACTGTATTAATTGACCTTAAGGAGGTGTTTGATCCAGTCGATCATGAGGTTATATGGCAGTGTACCAAAGAAGTACATTACATTGTAAAGGCTGTCTACACGAACAGTACTGGTTGGATCAGAGCTTATGGAGAACTGTCGCCAGAATCGATTACCTCCTATTGGTCAAAATTATAGTCGTTTTAACTGTCAAAGTCAAATACTTCAATGTTGTCTCTTATTAGTCATCCGGACTGTCAATGTCATTTCAAATGTTCTTTCCTATTGGTCGTCCTAAACTGTCAATGCCACAGACTTCGATGCTCTTTCCTATTCGACCTAAATGTATAAATACGCACTATCTGTAAGACATCATGGTTCCGTTCCTTCCTGCCTACCTCTCTTCTGTACTCGACCCAACTCCATCCAACGGTGTCGCGTTCTGATATATAGGAGATTTAGAAATAGTATTTGGGTCGTATTGGAATATTTGAATTCGGACGTCGGTAGGGTTTGAATAGCTACGTAGCAGCATTATAACAAGGGGTTGAAACAGAATGAAAATAATTATAAGTTAGATCCATAACTAATTAATATGGATAGCCAATCAAAGGTGAACGAACGGGAAGGTCATTTGATGATCATCAGAAATGGCCAAGAAATGGATTCATATATATCAATGAGTATTTATGCATATTCTTCAGTAGCCGAATAGACTTCCTCTTCAATTCTTACCTTTTCAATCAAATAGTTTAGGGACTTAGCATGTATCGCGTTTAGATCTTGAAAACTGTACACCACAACATTAGCCAGTTATGCCATACAAATATTCAATCCTTTGTTAATTAAAAACTCAATACATGAATCTGACTAGATATAACCACGCAGTTTCTATAACTAGACCAAGGCTTAATAGCCATACAACTTTAATAGATGTAGCTGACAGACAAACAGACAGATACAACGCAGAACTTCGTACGTAAGTACATCAGTTCAGGTTGCCATGCCCCATCAGCACAGAGACGCAAATGTCAGTTCAAATCCAACAGTGATAGCAATAATAGAAGTATTAGCAGTAATGGAGAAGATTAGGGAGCAAAGATATGATATGATTCGAGAAGTATAATTCAGTAAGATAAATTTAGAAGGAGAAAGGTAGAGATTATGAGGAATGAAGAAGCTTAGAATTTCATAGAACACAAAGAGTGTATGCACCTGCGCCATCGCAAACGATTCTGAGCCATGTCATTCAAGGTCTCTAACCATCGGTGACTATCGTCTCGCGGGCAGATGTAGCTGAGTTTAAACATACTGTGATACAGTGATTATAAATTAACAGTTTAGATCGATAAAGGTCAAACAACAATGGACAACGTATAGTCCATCGACTGATTGCCGATTGCAAGAAATATTTTTCCTCCATGATATAACAGCACATGAATAAAATACTGACAGTATTGATACATGACAGTACGCTAACACAACAATGATTAACTTACTTTCAGAATCTACTTTTTGTATTCTTTTCTTGTCAGGGAAATATTCATATTGGCTGGAGAATTCTGAAGATGATGTTGGACAATCCCCAATATCACCATCATCATCATAGTTAAAATCAGTTTCACTTTCATCTGTAGTATCAGCAGTAGGTTTTTGAAATGTCACTGATTTCTGTCTTGGCATAATTTCATGAAAATTATCTACTGAACTTTCTGAAAATGATGATCGACGTTTAACACCAATTTTAGGACGTGAATAATAAGGATGTGTATTAGCTGCAGTAAAAAAAAGGAAATTAAGTGAAATTTCACAGTTTTATTTAGTGAGAAGGTTAACAAATTAGTCATTAAACGGGTAATAATTGTCCAGGATTTGAAGCATACACACATCAGAATATATAATCTTGTACAAACTGAACAACGAATCAAGTCTCTTGACATCAAGACAGACAAGACAGACAGATACAAAGCAGAACTTCGTATGTAAGTACATCAGTTCAGGTTGCCATACTACATCAGCACAGAGACGCAACAGTCAGTTCAGATCCAAGAGTGATAGCGATGGAAGTATGAGCAGTAATGGAGAAGATTAGGAAGCGAAGATATGATCCGAGAAGTATAATTCAGTGAGATAAATTTAGAAGGAGAAAGATAGAAATCATGAGGAATTCAGAAGGTTAGAATGTCATAGAACACAAAGAGTGGATGCACCTGCACCATTGTAAACGATTCTGAGCCATGTCGTTCAAGGTCTCTAACCACCGATTATTATCATCTCGCGGACTCCAACCAGGTAGTCGACATCTAACAACATGACTCAGTCCACTTGTCACTTCATGGATTTCTGTCATGTTTTGGTTTAGCTTTCTTTCAGTCTACTCCTACACCACAAAACATAGCTCGTCGAGGCAGTCGGTGGTTAGGCATACGCAACACATGTCCCAACCACCTCAACTGATGAAGTTTCACTCCTTCATCTATTGATTTGCCATCCCTACCTAGAACTCGTTTCCTAATGACAGCATTGCTTATACGGTTGTCCCAGGATACACGAGCAATGCTTCAGGGACACCGATGATCGAAGACTAGTAACCTACGAAAGTCCCCTACTCTTAACGGCCATGTTTCGCATCCATATAGTAAGACGGAGAGAACTGCTGCACGGTACACTCGTCCTTTGGAAATCAATACAGAAGGAAATTAAGCAGACGAAAATAATTAACCTTGAAAGCGATGATAAACAGAGTGGAAAACATGTTTAGGAACTATAAAAAGAATGAATGAGTATGAACTGTTGTAATCGAATTTCAGTTATATCCACTCGCAGCGACTATTACTAAAATTCTTCATCATGAGAACCCCACCCTCATAAAATGATTTAAAGACAGCGGCGTAATTTCTACAACAGTCTCTAAACTCAAATTAAATTAGGTTACTTGTATTTCCATTAACCCACTCCCAACGGATGCTTTAAATCTGCTTGATCGCACCCATCAGTTGGCTGCCTCATAATGAAAATACTGCAATTAATCTCCTTCAGAGACGCATTTGCTTATTTTAAAAAAACCTTAGAAAATAGAATTCTCTGACACTCTCTTTGGGCAACAGTGCAAGTATGTTTGGGATGCATTTCAATCTAAATGCAAAATATTTTGCTTCAGAAATAGTCTATATCAACCCTAAAACTAATTATAGAAAGTTTATTAGTTCAGCGCATCACTTACTTTATACTTATCTTAGTCTTTTCAGCCCTGTTAGGTTGATATTTGACAAAAATTCGGCACAAATTCAGAAAGTTCAGTTGGTTTTCACCAACTTGAATCACTTTTAGCGTAGACACGATAACCAGCTCCTAACCAAAGTATCAGTATACTACAAAGCGTTTCTCTATGTTTTACTTTTTCGGTGCAAAATGTACGTATTAATAATGTAGATTTATAGATTACTAGTATTGAATCACAAATACCATCAAACCATTCCTCGTATATGTCGTCATGATAACTGAGTTAAAAATTCAGAGGTTGGATGCAGGGTATCAGGTAAAGATGGCAATCCAACTGATTAAATAATGAATCTTTATCAACTGACATGGTTCGAACACGCATTACGTATGGCCATTCACCGCCTATCCAAACGGACATTAATGGCTGACAGCCATATAATGTGATGAAGTAAAGTAGAGCTTAGTTTGTACTAAATTAATTGAAACTCAAGTGTCAAGCGACAACTTTACAATAGATGTTACCTTTAGCAATATTATTAAAGTATCTTTGAAAATTAACAAAGTTACAGGAAAAAAGTTAATTGATGCCGATTACAAAAAAAAACCATTACTTAAACATGCAATAATTATCTGTTATACTTAATCTACTGAGACTGAAAAATGAAGTCCATAACACACACTACTAGATGAAACCTAGTAAATAACCATAACTGAGTAAAATAACCAGATAACAAAAATACTTAGAAAATTATTAAGATATAACTCTTGATTTAATTCAGAATTTACGAGAAGAAAGACTCAATAGAAATACAGTTTTGAAAGACTAATGATATGAAATAAGTCGAAATTTTCAACACAATGAGAGACAAGTCAGTCAGTCAGTGAGATGCAACGTAGAACTTTGTACATAAGTACATCAGTTCATGTCGCCATACCACATCAGCACAGAGAAGTAATCGTCAATTCAAATCCAATAGTAGAAGAGGTAGTAAGGGAATTAGAAATAATCGGAGAGGTTAG